ACCGATGTTAACATGGGTGACAGGAGGGTAGACCGATGTTAACATGGGTGACAGGAGGGTAGACCGATGTTAACATGGGTGACAGGAGGGTAGACAGATGTTAACATGGGTGACAGGAGGGTAGACAGATGTTAACATGGGTGACAGGGCAGGCACTAGACAGCAAGCAGGTGGCTGACAGGGGATGAGAAAGGTAGTGGGGGACTCTGGGAGGAATGCAGGAGGTACAGTGACCGGAGGTAACGCTTGGGCACTGACGGGGGATGCAGGGGAAAGAGAGAAATAAAGGTTTAATCGGAGTTCCCAAAGGAGATGAGCGCCAATGGGAGAGAATATTCCTGGGGAAAGGAGAATTTTCCAGAGCCAAATGAACTTATTACTGCAGATCAAAGACTACCTACAGTCTTCAATATAGATTACACCTCAGCATAAAGAAAACAAAAACTTTCATACCTGACGGTGCTCTGCATTGGGAATATCTGCTACGAAAGATCTCTTTAAGGTGCTAAAAAGCAGAAGTGGCCCTCTGAGGACTGAGAGGTGCTGGACTAAAGTCATGGTACTTTTAGTTGCCTCAGAAACATGTTGAAGTTGGACAATGAATACGGAAGACCAGACGAGAATCGATGTATTGAGTTAGGATGTTGGCAAAGAATATTAACTGTCAGGAAACCAAATCTGTTTTGGAAGCAGTACAGTCAGAATGCTCCCTGGAAGCAGCATGGATGACAGGACTTCGTCTCACATACTTTGGACATGTCCTCAGATGGACATCATGCTTGTTAAAGTAGAGGGTCAAGGCAAGAGAGGCTTAACACAGGGGTTAAAGCAATGGGCTCAAATAGAGCAACGAGAGAGGAGAGGGCAGGACTGAGCGGGGTTTCGTTCTACTGTACACTGGGTTGCTATGAACCAACCCAATGGCACCTAACAATAACAACACTAGAGGCCAAACACAAACAACAGCCTACAGGATTCTGCAATAATCGTATTGTTGCTGATAGTACGGACACTGCTATTCTGAAACTTTTGTGTAGAAATTGTGGCATAAACCAGGTACAGAAGATCTAGAGGGCCTGTAGGAAGGTAGACTCTCCACTGAATAGGATCCAATCTGTCTAGGCAGGGCTGATGAAAGGACATGCGGATGGGTCTCTTGTGTTACAATGGTGAATAATTGTTATCAGGACTGATTGTGAGGGTTGGAAACGTAAAGGTAGATGTTTTATAGCAAGGAGGGGAGTGATTAACTCTTCAGTCTAGGAGCGGAGGCCCCTGGACCATTAAGGGAGAAGAGCAGAGAGGGGGACCCTACTCAGAGAAGCAGTGATACCTGAAATGGAGCCAGAGATGATGACGTGGAGCAATGGAGCAGCTGGAGACTTTAGATCCAGAGAGGGAGAGGGGCTGTGTGCTGAATACCGGGGGCAGGCTTGTAGGATATACCCTTTGGTTGGTTGATGATGCATGGAGGGGATTGTAACCATGTCAATTAAACAATATACGATAGGATGAATGTAAAGCTAATGTTCTACCATGTAAACTATCACATAATTCACAATGAAACATAAAAAAAAACAAAAAACACCAGGTAGGGAATTGTGCTGTGAGTACTAGAGTTTTTGGCTGAGAGAAAGGGGCTACTGATTAAGACTGAAAAGGTTAAGGAAAACCTCAAATCGGAACCAAAAGGTTTAATATTAATTCATGATGTAGGCCAAAAAGAGTATTTCATATCTCTGCTCACTGCAAATGGCTAAAAATGAGAAACAGCCCGGGGGTCTTGAGTACCCAGGTCGGTCTCTATGAGTATCTCTATGACATAGATACTCAGGGGTCTTTAGAGAAACGGCAGAAAGGGACGCAGGGACGTCAGAACAACTCAGCTCTGAAAGCTAAGAAGCCATCAGTGGACAAGCGCCAGGTAGAACCAATGAAGGCGCCCTTGTCATGGATGGTGGGGATGGTCCAGTGTGCTCACAGGCAACAAGTCACCGTGACTTAGGGAGAGGGGGCAAGGTAGAGGACACGGGGCCTCCAGATGCCCAAGTCACCTCAGTCCCAGACTGATTTTCGATCTATGTTGCTGTTGTGTGCTTTCAAGTCAGTTCCGACCCATAGTGACCCTGTATAGGGTTTCCAAGGAGTGGCTGGTGAGCTTGAACCATCAACCTTATGGTTCTAACTGACTTTGCAGTCCAGCGCATTAGCCCCCTGTTTTTTGGAATCTGTTAGGGCTACTGTCGAAGGGTGCTAACCGGACACAGCCCTGATGGTCTCGGGTTTCAGCCCTCGGCATTGTGCTCAGCCTGGCGGCACACTCACCTCGGCTGCCCTGCGGTGGTCATCCCCGGCGTCCAGCACACTCACATCCACGCCCAGGCACCGCAGGCTCCTTGCCAGGCCCTGTAGCATGTTGTCACATACTACGCGGAAGTCTCTGGCAAAGACTTCAGGGATTGCTCTCTTGCCCACCGCTGCAGGTACCTGAAACGCAGCCCAAGTCTCACTCACCAGCCTTCTGGCTTCCTCCAGGTGACCACGCCTGGTCAGAGGGGGCCTAGGGCTCCAGGGGCCTGTGGACTGCCCCCCTTTTATCAGCCCTTCTTTGGAAGTTCTGACGGACAGTCGATGGTATGTATCTACCCCTTCCCCTCCCCTTCCCTGATGGTTCCCCACAGAGGCCTTCACCCACCTGCTGGGGTTGGGTCAGGGTCTCCTGCCGGCCAGGTGACCCCTGGGCCCCAGATCTCACGCTGCGCCTGGCCCCCACGCTCTTGGCCAGGTTCTCAGACAGGTGAAAGCGGGCGGGGTCTCGGCACAGTGCCCTGTACACCTCCAGCAGACAGTAAGCATCTGTAGCTGGGGGCAGGGGTCTGCCTTAGCCTTGGGCGGGGGGTGTGCATGGCAGGGAGCTGTGGGGGTGGGGAGGAGGACCTGGAAGGAGGGGAAATCCCCCGACACCCCTGGGAATGCTCACGCCGCCCACCCCCCCCACACACCTGCATAGAGGATCTGCTTCTCCCGCAGTGGCCGCCGGTCCCAGTTGGAAAGCTGCTCTGCCTTGTCCAGGGGTTTGCCCAGCACCTGCTCTACCATGAGGCTCAGGCCCCGCGGTGCCCCGGGGGCATCCACACTCCGACCACGCATGTCTGGCGATCGCATCTATCAAAATAATGCTCGGTTGTGCTCCACGTGTCAGACCCAGAGGGGATACATGGGCGGGCTCATGTGGGACTGGCCCCTGCAAGTCCACCTAGTCACACGTCCTGACCTACCACACCTGGTGGCAGCATCACGCCTCTTATCCTAGCCCCGCCTCCATTCCCATGCCCAAACGTCCCCTGCCCCTCTGCCCCCTACTGGGTCCCACTCCAGTCCTGAGCTGACCTGCCCATGCACCCACTGCAGGTCCACGGCACCCTGCATCTGTTTCTCGGCGTCGGCGAGGTCGGGGCAGAAGGTGACCAGGCTCTGCAGGTCTCCCGCCATCCCGTAACCTGCAGGGGCCACACCATTGTGATGGGAACGTGGTCTTCTTCCTCGCCTCAACCCAGTGCCCTCCGCCACCCACAGCGCAGGCTCACCCAGCTTGGTGATGGAGGGGTCTGAGAGGAGGCGGCCCAGAAGCTGGGACAAGGCCTGGGCCCCATGTCCCCCAGGCGGCTTCGAAAGTGCACGTACGTCCAGCAGCAACACCCGGCCCTCCATTGCCAGCTGCACGAGGGAAGCGCAGGGGCGGCCCGCCACCCGGAACAAGGGCCTCCACTCCAGGTCCAGGCCTACCACACCACCGGGCTGTGGAGGACACAGGGTCATGGGCATGAGGGGCTGGAAGCCACCCTTCCGGGCTGCAGGCGCAGAGGGCTTTGATGAGGGGCCAACCTGCAGGAGCTGGGGCCCATGCTGGGCCAGGTCCTCCCACGTGGTGAGGAAGTGGATATGATCCTTGGTGATGGGCAGCTGGTAGTAAGCGCTCCTGTCCAGGTCCCAACACTCCTCCAGCCTCCTGGGGGTCTGGCCCATGCTAAGAGGGGCTGAGCTGAGGCTCTATCACACAGTAACACCCCCTTGTCCCTGAGCACTGGTGATGGGGGGGGGGACTTGCTGCCCACAGTTAGGGACGCTCACCTGTCCTGCAGCCGAAGCCGGCTTAGCTCCTTGGCCACGGCAACCGGCAGCCGTTCCTCCAGCAGCGAGAGGTCCCTGATGCATTGGGCGGTCTTGGCTGGGCCACCATGAGAGGCCAACAGCCGGATGAGCCTGTCCTGCAACCACTCGCTCGGCCCCACCAGGTCCTGGGGAGACCCGACCACTCAGCAGAGCTGTCCAGCCAGGTGCCTTTGGACAGTCCTCAACCTGCTGGCCACCCTGGCCTCTCTAGATCCACACTGAATGCCCACAGGGGGAGGGGAATTGCTTAGTGTTGAGCCTTGATGGACTGATGACCCAGGAGGCCACTGCTGATGCTCCTACCCTATGTCCCTACCTGCCCGTTTTGGTGGTCTGCTATGCTGGCTTTGTGGCCTGAACACTGTCTTAGGATGTCCATCTGCACTGCTCCCCACTGACTGGGACACACTTGCCCTTTGGGGTCCATCCAGATTCTCTCTCTATACTCCAAACCTTGTCCCACCTACCCTGTGTTTAGGTTGGTGTCTGAGTTGGGGGGCACATGACACTGTGCACCCCAGAGTCCTGAGCAGATGCCCCATGGAGGCCCCTCGAGACACGAGGCTGAGCTCCCTAGCACAGGGCTGGCCTTCCACCTCAACCCCGTGCTCCCATCCCCCACTGTCTCCCCAACATATCCAGGCCTCAAGTCTCGGAGACCCCACGGTGGATCATCATGACAGGGTGAGGACAGAAGTGGGGGGCTTGGGGTGGTGGTCTCAGCTTCTCAAGGAACCCCTACGACACAGGCAGCCCTGCCCCAGGGCCCCAGCCTCCCATGCGGCCGAGGGTTCCCACGTGGACCACAATAAGTGGAAACTCCTCCACATTCTTCAGGATGTCCGCTGCCCTTCCGGCTGCCTTGGCCTTGGCACCCAGGGGGGACGGATGGCTTTCCGGGCCCTGGCCGGGTGGGGGGCTACGTTCCTCTCTGGTGACTCATGTCCCCGTCACCCCTGGGGGCGGGTATGGCCGGTCATGTCAGAGGACTCCAGATACTTTGTCCTGATACCTCTGAGGGAGATGCTGAACTGACCAGCTCACAAGGACCTCCTCTCCACAAGGCTCCTTCACCTAGGGCTCTGCCCCCATGAATGACCCCTGCCTCTAGCTCTGGCCTAAAGAGACAGATACTGTCCCCACAGCTCTGGCCCAGGCTGCTGTCCACGGAGGTCATTTACAGTCTAGACCCCTTGATGCTCCTGTTTTGGGGTGCGTCACTCCTCTGAGACCAGGGTCACTCTCGACAATCTGGGGTCTCACCCTCACCACAGGATTCCAGCTATAGCCCAACTGGCTCAAGGCAGAGACGAAACTGCCGCCTTCCTGGGGACCCCACTCTGGACAGGTTTTGCTTCAGGGAAGGTGGAGAGGACACAGGGAATCTGGGTACCTCCCTGACCCTTCTGCCCACTGGGTAATGCAAGGCTGAGGGACCTCTGAGTGCTGACTCCACAACTTCCTGAGGCTCTCAGATGGCACCATTGTGCAGGCAGTGTGCAGGGCGGGCAGGTGGCTACCGGGACACTAAGGGTACTCACAGTGGGGACACGACCTGGGACAGCACCCATGGCAGGAGAATTAGAAACCCAGTCTGCGGGATGCCCTGTATGCTAACTGTGCCCCTGGCCTATACCTTTGCTTGTACCAAGGCCTCTACAGGCTGATGGCCCTCTGACCACATCATGGGCACATGGGCAGGATGTTCGTTTCATGGCAGGGCTCACACAGAGCCAGGCTGGTGGCCATCTGTGGGTAGTGGAGGACCACCGCTCACATTACACACAGATAGATGTACAGGGGTTCACATATACCTACCTCATGTGTACATGCACACACAAACATGGTGTACACAGGCACACACATCCTGTGTACATGGGTTAGCACACAACCCCACCCCATGTGTACATATACACATGTTGTGTTGGTTAAGTTATGTGTAAATTTGTCTGGGCTCTGATCCCCAGTGCTTTGGCCAGATACTGGATTGGTTGCTGTTTGGTGTGACAGGTGGGTGGTAGAATGGTGATGACATGAAGTCACGGTGATAATATGATACGATGGTGATGCTGTAATAGACTGATGACGGGATGGATGGTAATGAAGTGATGATGGTGGGATGGAATGAGATGGAGATGATGGGATAGGACAGTGATGTTAGGTGCATGATGGGGTGGGATGCTGGAATACAATGATGGGATGGCTGGCTGGGATGAGATGATGGGATACATTGATGAGATAGGATGATGGAATAGGAGGAGGATGTTGACCTTGATGTTGGTTGGAAGGACAGATGATAAAATAGGATAGTGATGAGATGCCAATCAATGTAATATTCTGTAACATATTGTAATGTGATGACCTTCCATAATGTGATCTGATGTGATCAACCAATCAGTTGCCTCCAGGATGTAAGAGAAAGTTCTGGCGGACCTCACTTTCTCTCCTTTTTCATCCTGCACTCTTCTTGTCACCCACTCTCTAGTTCCTGGGACACAAGCCTGCAGCAGCCCCTGGCTTGCTGTTTGATCTGTACCGTCGATTTTGGATGTTCCAACCCTCACAACCCCAACCCAACTCAGCCAACAGAGGTCTCCAGCCTGCCACCTGACCTATAGGAGAGTTGGCATTCCCCACAATTTTAAGAGCCATTTCCTTGAAAGAAGTCCTTATTTGTAAGTTTATACATAAATATCTCACTGGCTTTGCTCCTCTATAGGTTCCAACTAAGACAAACGCATATGCACATTGGCGTACATACACGCACACGCACACACAGGAGGACATGCAGTCCCCCAAGACATGGCAGTTCCGGGTCACAGACTGAGCAGGGTCCTCCGAGGCTCTGGTGAATAAATGGCAGGCTGTGGCACTCACCTGCACTAGATCCGCCCAGTTTTCCTGAGACAGGCTTCTCTGCAAGAGCAAACACAGGCTGACCCCTCCCGCAGGACTGCCATGCCCTCTCCCCCTCCCCACCCTGCTCCGGCCGGGCACATCTACAGCTGGCAGGGCCCACGCCACATGGCCTAGCAGGGGACCCCACCTACCTCTACAAAACGTTTGTAGCACAGGTATCTCAGCGTTCCCAAGCATTGCTGGTTGGTAACATTAGGACACAGAGCTGAAAGGGGGCAGGATTGGCCCTTAGTGACCTTAGTGACCCAACAAATCCAAGAATGTGGTACCCTGGGGAGTGGGCAGGGGAGGGAGAAGGGGCCAGGGCCTCTCAGTCAACAGCCACAGGGCAGAGCACACCATCCCCTCCTCTTCTGAAGGAGGCCCCCCCCCCATCCTGGACCACCTTGCACACTGCACCCCCAATTCCCAGGCTCATGAGCAGTCTCCCTGGGGGAGTCAAGTCCTGGGGTCTCCTAGAGTTACCTACATTGCTGCAAGGCCCCCACCCGGATGTCCCAGGCTGGTTCTTCTGTTGGGAGCACACTGCCTCCTGCCCACCCCCACACACAGCAGCCCTGCCCTCTCGGCCTTCCCGCCTTTTCTCCGGCCTGACACTTCCTGCCATTGTACAACGTTGGCCTGGAACCAGCTTCCTGGCTCTCCCCACTGGAATGCGGATCCCTGAGCAGGAACCTGGCCCTGCTGCTGGCCTTGCTGGACCTGCGTGTCGAAGTGGCCACGAGTCGATGCTCCTTCCCACGACCCCATTTCCACATCTCATCTGAAGGCTAGCGGAGAGCAGCCCCACCATCCTTGAGACTCCAGCCGCTGTGGTTGGTCCTCAATGGCCGGAGAGGCCTCAGTCAGATGCTGGTCACATTAAGCCTGCCTGCCCACTGAGCGACTGAGCTCTTTGCCCCTGGACCTCCAGCAGGGGCCAGGCCATAGTTCCTGTCCTGGTAGGGTCAGCCTGACCCCACATGCCTGCTGATATACCCAGTTGGCACCACCACTGCCAGCCCCACCCACATGAGCACCCAGGGCAGCTGGGGGTTTCTTGGTCATAGGGTGCGAGCCGCGGTAGCTCCCCAGGTCTCCCAGGTGGGATGTGGTGCCTGGTTCTCCGTCTGTCCCCCCGCAGTGGGACTAGTCTGAGCAACATATGGGCAAAGCTGATATGAATGTTCTGAAGAAGGAGCGGGTGGCCGAGGGCACAGGTACAGGATGCTGCGGGGACGTGGCTGTGGCTGTGGTTTTGTGAAGATGCTCACTCTTGGCCCTGCAGACTGTGTGTGATTTCCCCAATGGGGTCAGCTGTGTCCTAGCCTCCAGACACAGGGTCTCAGGGACAGAGGTCTTTGGACTGCATGTGTATGGACGAATCAATCAAATGGCTCTCTCACTGTCTCGGCCCACCCACCGGAACATGTGCTCCAAGACATGAGCTGAAAACAAGACATTTCACAGGCCCAGGAGGTAAGGAAGGAGCCCGGGCGGTGAGGCTGCTAACCACGAGGTCAGCAGTTCAAACCCACCAGTCACTTCTAGGGAGGAAGCTGAGGTTGTCTGTCCGGTAAAGACTTTCAGGCTTGGAAATCCTATCTAGGATTGCTCTGAGTGGGAACTGACTCACAATGGCAGTGAGTCTGGTTTCTGCTTGGACCTAAAGAAACACGCTTCTAGCTGGCCCATGGGTATGAGAAAAAAAAATCATCCTAGATATTGGAAAAGGCTGTGAACTGAACGAGGGTAAAAATAATATACCTAGGAACTTGTGGACATATTTAAAAACAGAAAGCATTCAAAATGAATGAGTGAGGCCCAAATCTGTACAAGTTAGGGGAGGGTGAGAGAAATTAACCCAAAGAGAGGTGGAAGGAAGGAAACAGTGCGGGAGGCAGCACAGAGTGGAGGACGCGCACCGCTAAGCTGCGTCTCTGACAAGTGTGATTAAACAGACAAACTTCCAAGGAGACTGATGGGTGGGGTGGGGGATGGGGTGGAGAGGCCAGGCTTAAGGCCCAAATAACCAATGTTCAGAATGCCAAAGGCATCTGAGAGGATATGGTGAACAACTTGTGATAGCAAGCTTGAAAATGTCCATGAGAAAAATAAATTCCCAGAAAAAGCAGCTAACCAGATGGTACCAAACAGCCCACATCTCCTCACAGGCACTGCCTACAAAGCTTCCGAGGAGGAAACACTTCTAGCCAGAGCAAAACGCTTCCACAGCCACAAAGAGGAGGGTGCCTGGGGAGGACAGAGACAGATGTTCCAGGAAGACCAGGTGTGAACACAGAAGCAAAGATTTTTTACAAGTTGGCAAAATAAATCTGGCAACATATAAAAAGGGCGACCCTCCAGGGCCAGGGTGAGGCCTTCACAGAACTGGCTCGTCACATTAGAGGTCGCTGCTGCCGCCCAGCAGGCCAGCAGACAGAGGGAAACAGGTACCACTCGCTGCAGAAATGCAGAAAGAGGACTTGATCGATCAAATTTAACATCCATTCTGGACAAACGCTCTCATGAACCGGGAATTGAATCGGATATTCTAATAAAGTCATAAAGCCCTGCACTCTGTGTCAGTGTGGCATACTGGGGTGACTTGCACATCACTGTGATGCTGAGCGCTATGCCATCAGCATTTCAAACACCAGTAGGGTCACCCATGGTGGACAGGTTTCAGCTGAGCTTCCAGACTGAGGCAGACTATGGAGAAAGCCCTGAAGACCTTCATGGACAAGCCTGTGAACAGCGGCAGGGCACTGTCTGACCAGCAGAGCTGGAGGATGAGCCTGGGTGAGGCTGGCAGCCTCAGAACACACAGTGGTACCAACAGTGGACTCGAGCTGACCAGCCTTCAGGAAGGTGATGAGAATTGGGCAGCGTTTGGTGTTGGTGTACTTGGTGTGGCCACGGGTCGCAGTGGATTTGGTAACAACTGACCATAAAGTGAAGCTATGAAACAATGTCCTTCAAGGTGGGTGAGAGGAGTGACAAAGACATCCAGATTGCTACTCATCCTGGCGCTGCCCTCCAGGTCCTGGACAATGAATTATGGAAAGAAAGAGAAACGGAAGGTGAAAGGAACAGAAAGTCGGAAACGAAGCAGTCAGGATTTGCAAATGCTCTGAGCATATAGGGTCCACAGGGATCTTCAGAGAACGTATTACAACGAATCAGAGAGCCTGGCAAGGAGCCTGCCATTGAAATCAGTCCTCAGAGACCAGCTGGATTCCTGCAGCTTCCAATTAGAACATACAATTTAAATATGAAGGGGCTTCAAGAAGTCTGTGGGAAAATTCCACTGTCTTTTCATTCCATCTGCCCACAAACTTTTGGAAGCCCCTTGTATAAATGGCTTTTAAAAATAATATATAGAAGACCGGGGGTATGTGGGGAGCAGGCTTGCAAGGTATACCCTTTGGTTGGTTGATGATGCATGGAGGGAATTGTAACCATGGCAACGAAATGATATATATATAAATATATATACGATAGAATGAATGTAAAACTGATGTTCTCCCATAATTCACAATAAAACATTAAAATAATAATAATAATATATAAGATGCAAAAGTAAACAAACATCTAGCAGAAACTTCTAGAAAAAACCCCATGCAATGATACTAAGAGATATCAAAGAAGCAGGAAATAAACAAAGGGAGATAGCACCCCATGGCCTGGGTTCCCCCAAACGACACATTCAAAACAATCTCAGACAAATTCCAACCGAGTTTTCCCTATGAGACTGGACAGACTGGTTCTAACGTTTATACGGAAACACAAGGGGCCAGGAACGGCCAAGACAGTCTTCCCTGACTAGAAGGAGACAGAGGAACTTGCACTGTGAGGCCTGGGGACCCATCACCGGGGAAACAGGGAGATGGGACCCTGGTGACAGAGACTGTGGTCGTAGGAACAGGAAGGCACACACAGGCATAGGGCGGACCCACCGACCAGAGGGCCCACTCCACATTGGGGAAAGGTGACCCAAAACCCATGGGGTGGGGTGGCTGGGTGGCACACACCCATTGGGTGGGCTGGAAACAAGCAGGAAGTGGAATTGGAATATATGAGGGTGTTTCTTTCATAAAGGTTATGAAAAAACAGAATTGAACGATAATGGGATTTTCCCACGAACATTTTGACACTCCCTTGTCCACAATTGCAGCCTCTGAGGCCCTCGGGCAGAAGGTGATGACAATGCTGTGGGCAGATGACACAAAAGCCCTCACGACCTTGGGCAGGGAGCGTATCTGCTGTGAAGGAAGAGGTGTGCACACCCGAACACGTCTGGAACCTCAAACCTGTGAACTGCGGCTCCGGGAGGTGCGAAGGCAGCAGAGTGAGAGAGGTGTTGGCCTGGTGGTCAGGACTCACCTGGGTCTATAAGGAAGGGCGGACCCTCACAGCCCCGTGAACCTCAGCACACTGAGCCACAATGCCGAGGCGCCAGAAGGCAGCACGGGAGGACAGGAAGAGGCTCCCAGTCCCCAGGTTGGGGCGAGGAGAGGAATTCCTTAGGGCTGACAGGGTGTGGAGGGCCTGGCTGATCGGATCCTTGCTGGTCACCCTACACTGCCACAGCAGGATCACTGGCGTCCAGCTTACCTTGGTCAATGCCGCATCGCTTCAGCAGACGTATCACCTGTCTGCTAAGCAGTTTTGGGCTCAGCATCTCCAGCTTGGTGGCTGTCACCTTTGGGAATCTTCTATGGGAGAGAAAGAGCTATTGTCTGTTAAAATCTCTTTTTTCAGTTAATGCTATTTTTAAAAATTGTGGTAAATGATATATAACAAAAGTTTGCCATTTCAAACATTTTAAAGGTGTAATTGTAACATTCATCACATTCAACTTGGCCAGTGAACATCACCACTGTCTGATTCCAGTTTTTTCACCATTAACAGAAGCTCTGGGGCCCCCAAGCACAAGGCCTCCTTTCCCCTCCTAATTGTCCACCCATGGGCACCACTAATAAATGTTTGGACCTATAGATAGATCTGCTTATTTTAGACACTCCATGTAAGGAGGAAGGCATACAACATTTGCTTTTGTGTCGGACTTAGTTCAGTCAGCATAATGTGTTCAAGATTCATTCATGTAGTATGTTTCGTGATTTCATTCCTCTTTATGGCTTAGTAATACTCCAATGTATGAGGGGGCTTCAATAAGTTCATGGAAATTTTCATTATCTTTGAATTTCACTTTCCCATGAACTGTTTGAAATCCCCATATATATATATATATACATATACCATCTTTGGTTTATCCATCATCTGTTGATGAACATGGTTATTTCTAACTCTTGGATATTGTGAATAATGTTGGAAGAAACATGGTACACAAGTATCTGTTTGTATTCCTGCTTTAAATTACTTTGAGTGTACAGTGAAGAGTGGAGTTTCTGGGTCTCATGGTGACTCTTCACTGTTCGTCTGTTGGTCACACTGTGGTGGCTTCTATGTGGTTGTGATGCTGAGTACCTATATCACAGGTGTTTGAAATCCCTGCAGGGTCACCTATGGTGGACAGGTTTCAATGGTGCTTCCAGGCTAAGACAGACCAGGAAGAAAGAGTGGCAGACCACTTCTGAATGTCTAGCCACTGAAAACCTTATGAATAGCAATGAGGCACTGTCAGACATAGAGCCGGAAGATGTGCCCCTCAGGTTGAAAGGCTCTCAAAATACAACTGGGGTGGAGCTGCCTGCTCAGGTAGACTTGACCTTCGTGATGTGGAGGAAGCAAAGCTTTCTGGACGTTCATTGGCTGATGGGACACAACTAACTCACAATGAGAAGAAACAGCTGAAAACGTCCATTAATAGTCGAAACATGGAATGAATTAAGTATCAATCTAGGGAAATTGGAAACTGGTAAAATGGAAAGGAATGCATAGTGATCAATATCCTAGGCATCAGCGAGTGGAAATGGACTGAAATAGGTTCTTCTGAATCAGACAATCACATGGTTTACTAGACCAGCAATGGAAAATCGAAGAGGAAAGGTGTTGTGTTTATTGTTAAAAAGAACATTTCAAAATCTTGAAATACAATGATGCCTCCAAGGAAGACCAGTTAATACCACTATTATTCAAATGTATGCACCAACCACTAAAGAAATTGAAGAATTCTACCAACCTCTTCAGTTTGAAATTGATCAAACATGCAGTCAAGAGGTACTGATAATTAATTACTGGGGATTGGAATGCAAAGGTTGTAAACAAAGAGGAAGGATCAGTAGTTGCAAAATATGGCCTTGGTGATAGAAATGATGTTGGAGATCACATGAAAGAATTTTGCAAGACCAATGACTTATTCATTGCAAATACCTTTTTTCAACAACATAAACAGCAACTACACACATGGACGTCACCAGATGAAATACACGAGAATCAAATTGACTACATCTGTGGGAAGAGACTGTGGAAAAGCTCCATATCATAAGCCAAAACAAGGCCAGAGGCAGACTGTGGAACAGACCATCAATTGATTATATGCAAGTTAAGGCTGAAGAAAATTAAAACAATTCTACAAGAGCCAAAATATGACCTTGAGTACACCCCACCTGAAGTTAGAGACCATCTCAAGAACAGAATGGATACATTAGACACTAATGACTAAAGATCAGAAGATTTGTGGGATGACATCAAGAACATCATATATGAAGAAAGTAAAAGGTTATTAAAAAGAGAGGTACAGTTGCTATCTCCCATCAGGTGGAACAAGAGGAGAATACACACACAAGAAAACAAATCAAACAAGTAGCAGCAAAAAGAGAACATAATAAAGGAAGGAAAACAAAAAAGTAGCAACAAGAAAAACAGAATATAATAACTAAAGAGAAAAAAGAGGGACAGAGAAATGGAGCAATAGAAGAGAAAAATTAGAGAGAAAAGAAAAGGAAGAAATAAATACTTTTTTAAAAAAAAACCTGGGAGAGGAAGATGAAAAGAGAAAGTAGAGAGTAGTAAAGAAAGGTCAAAAGGAAGGAAAGAAATGAAGAGGGGGAAATGAGAAATAGAAGAAAAAATGAAAGAACTTCAAGGAACAGCTCGAGACGACAAATCAACCATTACAATGAGATGCGCAAAGACCTGGAGTTAGACATCCAGAAGGGAAGAACACGCTCAGCATTTGTCACGCTGATAGAACTGAAGAAACAATTCAAACCTTGCCCTGCAGTATTGAAGGATTCTATGAGCTAAATACCAAATGATGCAGAAAGCATTAAAAGAAGATGGAAGGAATACACAGTCACTGTGCCAGAAAGAGATGGTTGGTGTTCAACCATTTCACGAGGTAGCATGTGATTCAGAGCCCATCATCCTGAAGGAAGAAGTTCAACGTGCACAGAAGACATTGGCAAAGAACATAGCACAGGGAATTGATGGAAAATTGAAATCTTTCAACAAACGGATGTAGCACTGGAGACACTCACTCATCTATGACAAGAAATTTGGAGGCCAACTGCCTGACCAACTGACGGGAAGAGATCCATATTGTGTGTCCATTCCAAAGAGAGGTGACCCAGTAGAAAGTGGAACTCTTCGGACAGTATCACTAATATCACATGAAAGTAAAATTTTGCTAAAGATAATACGACAATTGCTGCCACCAACCATACATCGACAGAGAACTTACAGAGAATCAAGGCAGATCCACAAGAGGACATGCATATTGTAAGTTATTAATGAGTCTTCCCCAATTCTGATGCTGTGCTCTTCTTCATATAGTCAACTTCTCAGATTATTTATAGAGCATACAGATTGAATAAATCTGGTGACAGGATATAACCCTGGTACACACTGGTCCTGATTTTAAACCATTCAATGTCCCCTCTTTCTGTTTGAATGGCTGCCTTTGGGTCTCTATATAGGTTCTACATGAACACAATGAAGTATCCTGGAATTCCCATTCTTTGCAGTGTTAGCTGTAGTTTCTTATGACCCACATGGTTGAGTGCCTTTTCATAGTTAATAGCACACAGGTAAGCATCTTTCTGGCATTTTCTGCTTCCAGCCAAGGTCCATCTGTCATCAGCAATGATAGCCCCCATTCCACATCCTCTTCTGAATTCAACTTGACTTTCAGGCAGCTCTGTCTTGTACCGCTGTAACCATTTTTCAGTTACCTTCAGTAAAATTTGACTTGCGTGGTATTAATGACGTTGTTGGGTCATTGCTGCATTCTGTTGGATCCCTTTGAAATGGGTAGTGTCATAGTTCAGGTTTTGCGTCAGCTTGACTGGGCCTGGATTCCCAGTGATTTATTGGCAGTAAAGATGCCCTCATGGTACAACAATGATCCCTAATACAATACAATCACCCCATGATGTGATCTGCTGTGGTCAGTCCCGGACCTGATGGACAATGACCCTCGTTGCTGTAAATCCTCCCTTCTGTGATGTCAATGAGTTTGGATGCAGGCTACAGAATTAGGTTGGATCTTGAGTCAATCTCTTTGGAGATACAAAAGGAGAGAGAGACCTTGTACCCCCAAGAAAGAAGAGCTGGGCAGTGGGTGTGTCCTTTGGATCTGGGGTCCGTGCACCGTGAAGCTCCTCAATCCGGGCGATTGATGCCAAGACACACGGACATCTCCCAGGAAGGCTGGACCTATAAATGCTGGATGAAGACAAGGGCCTTGCACCTAACAATTACTCTGAATTTGTACTTTGAGCCTCCTGAACCGTGAGAGAATAAATTTCTGTTAAAACCATCCACGTGTGGTATTGGTTCCAGCAGCAGAGAACAAAGACAGCCACAGACATGGGTCTCTTCCCATCGCCTTGCCAGGTAGCAGTCTTCCAAATTGCCTGGCGTAGATGAATGAGCACTTCCAGTAGGGTATCTCTTTGTTGAAACAGCTCATCAATTCCTAAAGCTTGGTTTTTCACCGGTGCTTTAATGAAGTCCTGGTGTGGTGCTGTGGGTTAATGCACTGGACTGCAAAGTCAGTTTGAACCGCAAGGTTGGCAGTTTCGGCTCACCAGCCGCTCCTGGGAAGTCCTATACAGGGTCACTATGGGTCGGAGCTGACTCAACAGCACTTAACAACAATGCTTTCATTGTAGCCTGGACTTTTCCTTTAATATCATCAGCTCTTGATCGCAGTCTACCTCCTGGAACAGTTGCATGTCCATCTTTTGGGTACAGTGAACCTGTACATTCCTTCTGTCTTCTTGTGATGCTTCCTTCATGGTTCAGTATTCTGTGCATTAAATCTTTCAATAGTGCAACGCAAGGCGAGAAGTTTTTCTTCAATTCTTTCATCTTGATAACCATGGTTATGGGGTTAAGAGGTAACGCCTTGTGGGTTTGATTTGCATTTCCTGGTGTGGTGTTATAGAAGCACAGGACTGCTAACCATAAGATTGGGGGTTCAAAACCCACAAGTTGCTCCTTGTAGACCTTACATAGGGTCAATATGGGGTCTGAACTGACTCAATGGCACTTAACCAACAATGGCTAATGGCATTCAGCATCTTTTCATGTGTTTGTGTACCATTTATTTTCTTTCATGCCAGAACTCTTCGGGTCCTCTGCCCACTTCTTGACTGAGGTAGTCTTTCTGTTGTTGAATTGTAGGAGTTCTTTATATAGTCTGCATAGTAAGCCCCATCAGACACGTGGTTCCCACGTGGGTTTCTCCTGTTCTATAGGTTCTCTCTCACATTTGATAAAGTTCTTTACTGCACAAAAGCTTCAATTTTTTATGAAGTCCATTTGATCTGTGTTTATTTTTGGTGTTACCTCTAAGAGCCTAGTTCTGAAAAGTAGATTTTCTTTACGTTAGTTCTGTGATCCACTGAGTTCGTTTTTGTATGTCATGTGAGGTAGGGTGTTCGTTCCTCTAGCTGCGTGAGGAGATTCAGCTGTCCCGGCATCAGTTATTGAAGAGATTATTCTCTTCCCATTGAATGGACTTAACGATCTTGTTGAAAATGAACCGTCTACAGACACGTGTGTCTACTTCTGAACTCTGAATTCTATTCTTTTGGTCTATAGTACATCGCTAAGATTTTTACTTTCATAAAAGTCACACAGATACATAGCTTAATAATCAAATAATTTTATACAACTCTATAAGAGAATGCTTTTCATTGACCCTGCTCCTGAGGCAGCCACCTTTGATATGGGCCAGTATTTGCCTTTTTGTGTCCAAATAAATCTTTTTTTGTGTGTGTGTGTGTCCAAATAAATCTTGTGCTCTCTTGCTCATTCTGTTTTAGATACCTTTTACTGACGGGTCACCATGGAAGTTGCTCTACCCTCACCATCCCAGCAACATCACACCAGCATTCTCAGTTAAGTGACGACATTCCCAACCTCATTCATTGTCTGGTCCAGCGCCCCCAGAAGGCCAGGGAGGGAACTGGAATCTGAGTGCTTTTCATGAAGCCCTCCGCCTTCAAGACCTTGTTTCCAACTTTGTTATACTAAATTCAGAGTAATACCCTTTATCACATTAAGGAAGCTCCTTTCTATGTGTAGTTTACTGAGAGCTTTAATCATGAATACATTTTGAATTTTATGACATCTATGGATGATTATACTGTCTTTATTATTATTTTCTGTCAGGATGATAGATTGAAATGACTGATTTTCTCATATTAAATCAATACTGCATTTCAGGAATAAATTCCACTTGATCATAGCATATTAACCTTTTAATATATTAATTTGTTTGCTAACATTTTGTTTAATATCTTTACATCTATGTTCATGAGACATATAGGAATTCAATTTCCCTTTTATCATAATGTCTTTTTCAACTTTTTGTGTCAAGGTTTCAAGCTGGTTAAATAAAGCAAGCTAGGGTGTGTCCCTTCGTTTTATATTTTCTAGACGAGTTTGTGTAAGATTGACATAGTTTCTTCCTTGCATTCATCAGTGCATCAACCTGAACCTAAAATCTCTTGGTGATAAAACTCTAAACTATGAGTTCAATTTATTTAATGTTGTTGTTGTCAGGTGCCATCGAGTCGGAACCGACTCATAGCGACCCCATGCACAGCAGAACGAAACAATGTCCGATCCTGGGCCAACCTCACTACCGCTGCCACACTTGAGTCCATCAATGATGCCACCTGGCCGATCCATCTCGATGGGGGTCTTCGTCTTTTTCTCTGACCCTCCACCTTACCAAGCATGACATCCTTCTCCAGCGACTGTTCCCTCCTGACAATATGTCCAAAGTACAAGAGATGAAGTTTGGCCATCTTGGACTACTCAAAATTTCTATTTTTTTCTATGATCAGTTTTGGTAAATTGTATTTTTCAGGGATTTTGTCTATTTTGTTTAAATTGTCAAATATATTTGTATCAAGTTGTAGATGACATCCTTTTTTTTAATCATCTTACGGCTGATAGGATCTGAAATAATGCCCTCTTTTTCGTATGTGATAACGAAATAATTTGTATTTTTTTCTCTTTCTTAACAGCCCTTGAGGATTTGGGCCTGAATCTACTACTATTACATTGGGAACTGCAGAACAGTGAGGTTAGTTCTCTCATTGTTATCTCTTAGCTGTAGAGAAGAACTTTCCCACCCCACCTCCTGTGCATGTCACTACTTTGGTGTGGTGGTGTAGGATAAGCACTGGGCTGCTAACCATGAGGTCAGTGGTTCAAACTCACCAGATGTTCCTAGGATACCCTATTCAAGGTCGCTGTGAGTCAGAATCAACTCGACAGCATTAACAACAACAACAATGGACTTGGATTTTTACAAAGTCAAGTGTTATGTTCAAGAACCACCGTTCCTTTTGGTTCTCAGTCGTTTGTACGACGAGTCCTTGTCCCTTTTAATGGAGGATGGTGTTTAGAGACCAAGTCCCGCTACTCAGGGTGCTCACGGCTGTGGGGCGTCATTGTTAGAGTCCCTTTTAGTGCAGACAGCTAGTAATTATGTTTAATCATGAATGTAAATGAAGATCCCTAAGTAAATCTGACACTACTGGGTCCTCCTCACCTTCCCACTTTCCATTTCCTCTTTAGAGTAGAAACTGTGCTCCCCAACCTCATCAATAAATTCACTTGTTTATGCTGTCTGTATCTTTAACACATAATAAAAGCAACACCAACGAATACAACTGTACACTAACCACGGGCCTGACTTAATCACATAAAGTCACAAAAACTCCATGAGGCCGGTAGAGTCAGCCCCACGGTAGGGATGAGGATACACACTCAGACCCTGACAGTGACTCGCCATAGCTCTAAGAAAGGAAGTGAGCCCAGAGAGAGAGATGGCCACGGCAGGCAGATGGTCATGACTACTGATGACCATGTGACTCAGCCGCCTCCACCATGGACGCTACAACCAGCTGTGTGGCAGGAAGCGCTTTTCCTCCCAGATGCTGTCCCTGTGTCCACTCAGGAGATACCCTCGTATCTCTCTCCCCTAAACATATGTGCACACATACACGTGCCCAACCATGCACACTTAACACATACATAGCACAGGTACATAAGAACACACGCAAGCCAGATACACACGAGTGTACACACATGCACACCCTCACGTCATGCAAACAAGGCAGTCACACACAGGCATGCATGCACACATGTGTGCACACACATGGCCCCAACAAGTCAGCACATGCCTTTTCTCTGTCCCCACTGGGACAGATCATGCAGTAGGTTTCATAGAAGTTCCTGGATGAGCACATGAACAGGTCATGAGTGAATGAAGACACACTGTGTGACTTCCGGAAGGCAGTTACTTTTGCTCTTCTGTAGAAATTGCTTCTCCTCTTCCCAGAAACAGCTGTGTTCTGGCCTCCCCCAGCCTCCTTGCTCCATAGGGGACCCCTCTCAATCCTAACCCTAACCTCATGCCAACCCTGCTCAAACACGAGGAGCCGTGTGGGGACTGTTCTAGGGGCTTTACAGCCTGTGGGACTCACTTGGCGACGTCTCGGATGCTGAAGCCAGGCTGGCACCAGGAGTCCATGAGGACCACCAGCCTCCTCTGCAGGTCTGGGAAGCCGTCCACGTAGCTCTCAACCAGGTTCACCTTGTTCTGAAGGAGCAACGGGATGCTCATCTGTAGGGAGCACATGCTCAGGTCCCTGTCCCACAGGTGGTGCTGACTGCAGCCTCGGCCACAGCAGCTTGGACCCCAGATGCACCAGGGGACTGGCTGGTGGCTGTTCCACGCAATTTGCCCTCCATGGGCAAGCTTTGTATATGTCTGTGAACCCTATCAGCTCACGGTACCCTATGCATATACACACATACGCACACACTTCCGTTCCCTGAGATGACATGTCCATCTGCTATGAATGTGTGGGTCTCACCTGGGGCCACGGTCCCCCGAACCAAGCAGCCCCTCCCTTTCTACCACTGAAGTGACCTGTGGAGGGAAGCATGTCCAGCCCTCCCCAGTATGGCCTGCCCCCAGTACCCCTGGCCCAGGAGACCCAGGACACCTCCCTCCAGCCACACACTGTGCTCCAGAGACCTAGGGATCATCCAAATTAGAAGCTAAACGTTTCCATGACAGAAAACTTTACCTTCTCAAAGTCCAATTGTGGCTGCAGCTTGAGCTTTGTGCTCAGCAGGATGGCCTGGAGAGACAAAGGACTGGCTACTCAGGCCTTGCTCAAGGTGGACCAGTCACCCACCTTCCTGCAAAGACCTCCAAGAGGGCACCGGAAGGGTCCAACCCGTTAGACAAGCCCCCATCCGGCTAGCTGAGCCAGGCTTCCCCTCCCCCACGGTGCCCTCCCAGGCTGGGGAGTGAGTGGGACGGTGGCATCTGCCATCCACAGAGCTGGCTGTGCTGGCTGGCTCCTGAGTATAGGGAGGGCAGAAACGAACATGGGGGCACTTGCTCCTCCTTCACCTGCTCCTTGGGTGCTGCCCCCATCACACTGAGGGGCTGGAGGGGAGAGGGGGCCCTTCTCTAGACTGTCCCTCTGATGTGCCATGTTGGGGGAGGGGGAGAGGGTGGCCAGTGTGAGGGTTGGACAGAGCTGCCTCCGGGATCCTTCCCAAGGCCTCAAACCATCACCAGAGCCACAGGCTGTGGGGGGAGAGCAGCTGTTCCCCACACTGGGGGGTTGGGGGGAGCTGCAGCAGTGGTCCTGGAGCTGACCCACAGCCCACCTGGAGACACACTTCATGGCCACATGCACGTACACCATGAGGACTTCCCGTGTGCCAGCCCCCGTAGGCACAAAAATAACAGGCCAGACCCCGCCCCCGCCAGCCACATCGAGGACCAAAATAGCGGCCTGGGAAAGGGCCCGCTGAAGTCCATTGAGGGTGGGGGCCCAGAAGCCCGGCCTTTCCCTGTGGGGCCTCCATGACCTGGCCCACATCCAGGAGCCCAACCCCAGCCTGTCCCTCCCTCCCAGCCGGGCAGCCCTGCAGCCATCTCACTGGGGGCTCTGGCCTTTCCCAGATCAGAGCCCCTCAGAAAGCTGCTGGCAGCTGGGGATGAGGGTGGGGGTGGGGGGCTAGGCCACCCCACTGACCCAGGGCTCCTCTGAGTCCTGGGGAGGTCAGCATGAAGCAAGGTAGCTAGGGTTCTCCACATGGCACCCTGCCTGCTTGGGCCCCTCAGTGCTAGCCTCCAACCCTGGCCTCCCTGCTGCAGTCTTGTGTCAGGACCCTGTTGGCCTCACCTATACAAAGGTGCTCAGTGTCAGGTGGGCGGCTGAGGAGACAGTGGGGTGAGGGGCCAGGCAGGTCCACCCCAGGTTAGATGAGGTGACCTTCTCCGACACACACGCCTACTCAGTGGTGTAAGAAGAGGGTCCTGGCTGGTGCGCCCAAAGCGGCATTCCTCATAGACCCCAGTTTCCTTCAGGGCCGAGACCCCATTTCTGCCTCTGAGCCTCTGAGCCCCGTCCCGAAGCCCAGCCTCTCCCACATCTAGTCTCACGGGCAGGCGGTGGAAAGAGTGGGCACCTAACAGGAGGCAAGAGCTGGCGGTGTGAGAGTCGGGAGAAGATGTGGGCCAACCTCCCTGTGTCACAGTGCCGGGCAGGCGTGGACCTCTGCGCTCCGGAAAACTACTCTGAAGCCTGAAATGCCCACTTCACCCATTACCCGCCGCAGGTGTCCAGCCAAGTGCAGCCCCCTCCCGGAGTGGAGACCCCTCCCGCGCCGTGCCCAGAAGCCTCGGCGTGTTTTTTGGTTTTTGAAACACAGCTATCTTTTTACCTTGATAAGCTGTTTTTAAAATGTAAATAAAATAACTCAGCGGACAAAGGCTGGCATTCATCCGCGACCCTCGCAGCCGGCCGCCGCCCCTCGACATGAAATATCGCGGCGCATTAAGCCGGGCGCTGCTCGAATCCGAGCGGACAGGCCTGAATGTGGAGCAGCCGTGGGCCCCGGGCGGCCCGCTCGGACAACGGCCCCTGCACGGGCCTGTGCGGGACAAGGGCCCCCTTTGTGTCTCTCCTGCCTGGGAGCGGGGGGGCGGGGTACATTCAGCCGCCCCAGACGCCCTGTGAAAGGCTGGAGTGTAACCGAAGACGGCGGGAAACCCGAGCCGCCCGCCTCCTGTGCCCGCGCCGCCCGCCCTGCCTAGCCCTCCGTGCCGCCCCCGCCCCGCAGACCACCAGCCCACCTCGACCAGGACCCGCAGCCTCCACACTGCCCTGGAAACCTCCTTTCCCTCCTACCTGGGAGGCGCCCTTCTCTCCAGACCCCCTCCCATGGTCCTGCTGACCCCTGCCCACCATCTGGCCATCCATACCACACCGGCACCACCCCTGCAGGCTGTCCACCCTGGCAGCCATCCCTGTGCCCAGCAGTATCCTAGGCCCCTAGTGCCCTTCCTGCATGGCCCCCTTCTGCCCTCCACACCTCCAGCACCGAGGCTGCTATCTTGGCTCCCACAGCTTCTGGGGTGGGTTCAGAAAGGGTTCTGCTCTGATACCCAAAGCCGGAAGCCCAGGACCCCATCTTTGGGGTGAGGAAAAGGCTCACTTGGGATAAGGGAGACAGCTGGTGCCCACCGGCAGCACCGGTCCTGAATTAGGCTTGGGCCCAAACAGTACCCCAGGACTAGGGAAGCTCCTTCTAGTGACACCCCTAGCTGCCTAATGTACCTGCTGCCTCCGCTGGCTGGCACTGGAGGGTCACACCACGTGGCTTACAACCCTCCCCATCACTGCAGAGCCTACTGCTCAGATCGCAGCCAGGCCGGGACCACCCTCGAGCTCCTCTAGTACCCACAGGGGCCATCAAAGAGCAGACACCACACCTGTGCTGATGTAAAAGCCTGAAGTTAACCTGAATGTCCATGTCTCCCCAGAGGGGCTCCTGACAAGAGAGAGAGGTCAGATGACAACCAAACCTATGACTGTCCATGGGAAGGACTAAAAGCATTGGCCAGCTGAGGGGTCCCCTTGGTCTCCAGAGCCATCAGGGTCATAGGAGGGAGAGTCCGAAGACCAGACGGTTATTGCCCAAGCTGGCTCCAGAGAAAAATGTGCTGGAGGCCCACTCAACCCACTGGACACCAGGAGTCCAAGGCAGCTGAGTCAGGTCCTGTGGAGGCCTAGGGTACCCCAGGATCCACCCAGGAACGTGAAGCAGAGTATGTTCACGCCTGGTGTGAGCCTGGCTTCAAGGCTTCCAAGAGAGAAGAAGTCCTCCGCCTGGGGCCAGGAGAATACAGACAGCGACATGGACTTGGGAGGGTGAGGGACTCAGGACATGCCAGGTGGTGAGCAGGTCACCAGAACACTCCCCACATAAGAGCTGGAAGACTGGACAGGGTGGGGGTTGAGGGGACCAGACTGCGACTGAGTGCGGCTTGGAGAGAAAAAGGCCCAGGGCAGGCCGGGAAGAGGGGCTCCTAGTGGTGCCAGGGGAGGGGGTGTCATTAGCTTCCCCCCACTCCACTGTCTGCTCACTGCCACCCCAGAAAACAACGGCACCCCACACACAGGAGATGCACTGCTGGGTGCTAATGATGCAAGGAATGGGTGAATTAATGATGGGACCCTGGTTTACTGATGGTGACCCTGTTGGGGCAGTGACAAGGACAGGGTGGTCAGGACACAGATTTGTGGGCTGTGTGAGGGCTGTGGTACTAGTGTAGGCACTTGTTTAACTGGGTCACCAAATCCTCCCTGCTGACCAGAGCCTCCACTGCCCCCACGTGATGTGAGGAGGAAGCTGTGGGCTCATGGTCCTGGGGCAGCCTCATGCCTGGTCCCCTCCCCCTCGGGGACCCCCAGAGGTCACTCTCACCTCTTTGAACTTGCCCTTGTCATGGAGACTGTTGGTGTGGTCCAGCAGAAGGCACTGGTCAGCGTCCTGCAGCTGGAAGATGCTGGCCAGTGGCTCCACGACACTGAGCGGCCGCCCTACAAGAATCCCAACTGCACGGGCTTGCAGCTGCCTGAGTTTTGGGCTGCCCTGGAGGAAGAGGGAGAGGTTCTTACTGCAGGGGTCCCCCAACTTCCCACGGCCAGCTTGCCTGCTCACCCACCTGCAGCCAGTCCTGGAGCCTGATGACAGGTGTGGGGATAGGACCAGACAGGTGTGGGGAGGACCCTGTCAGGACACTGAAGAGCCCCACCCCACCCTCCCTGGACAAGCTGACCTAGCCACAGCAGTCTGGTTGGGTGGGCATGGGTGCAGGGGATGGAAGGTGGGAAGGTCATGGCTTCAGAACGTCAGGGCTGCTAGGGGCTCACCGGGGCTGGCCCGGGGTACTGCGGCTGTGTCTGTAGCCAGCGTTGCAGCTCACAGGTGACCCAGGCCTGCAGCGAGTGGACGGCCTGGCCACCCTCCAGCAAATCCAGGAGTCCTGTGAGAGGGTCGTCCAGGGCTGCAAAGCCCCGCCAGGCTTCCTCCCGGAGCTGCAGAGACATGACCCGGCATTGGTGGGGCGCAAAGCCTCGTTGTTGTTTTTTTTCTTTTTAATTTAAGGTTTTTATTGTGGATTGAGTGAAAGTTTCCAGGGCACATCATCAGTTTCACATTCCACCATTCATATACCTTGTTTCATTACATTGATTATTATCCCCTCCATATACCATCAGTTAAGTGTTTCTCTCTATCCTCTTTAGCTTTTTT